TTATATCTTGTGTGTGACCTTCTGGTCATACACATATAGTATCAGTGTTGTACATACACCTCAGAGGTTGGGGACCGCAGATATGTACCATATCAAGCCCTATGGTTAAGTTACTTCTCACAGCATCAGCTCTCAGCAACTCTGCTGCACCCCCCCACATGGAAAAATTGTCTTCCATGAAACTTGGGGGGAGGGGGAGCGAGCAAAGCTTCATCTCTATTTACAGCTGCTTCCCATCGTTTGCATCACTCCCTGAGCTCCTCCTCCCCACCCTTACCCCAGTCCATAGAAAAATTGTCTTCCATGAAACCGACCCTGGTGCCAAAAAGGTTGGGGACCTGGTATGTGATTATTTATAAAAGATCTTTTTACAGGACTTGCGATTCAGTCATAACAGTTAGCTCCAGGTTGAAATTTGATGGCCAAAGACTATTCTAGGACATCCGTAGGGGGAAAATTGCCTTTGTCATTTTTGGGTTATCCAAATGCAAATTTATTCTGAATAATTCTTCATTTAAGACTTGTTGGCATTTGTTCAATACTACAGAAACTTTCTTTTTGAAAAAATGAATCTTTTTCTGTTAGTTTCTTCTATGGAGTAGTATTTGTGATGAGAGTTGATATTTGTTTCAATTTAAGAAAATGAGTTGCTGCATAGGTGAGGAAGTATTTTGAATCACTTTAAAAGTTCATGTCAGTGTTTTGGTTCTTTTCAATATTTCCTTTCTCTTTTCTTTCTTTTTTAATTTTCTTTCTCTTTTTTTCCATTCTTTTTTCTTTCTTTCTTCTTTTTTTTTTTTTTTTTTTTTTTTTTTTTTTTTTTTTTTTTTGCTTTGTTTTGTTCTGTTTTATTTATTTACTTTTGTTTTTAGTTTTTAAAGGGGTGTTTTGGGATTTCCATGGCCTTGCTACATACTTAGCTGGCCATATTTAGTCTGCGCACTAATTGTTAGTTGGCCCAATTGAGTCTTACTTTGTGCTCTCAGTTCTTTTAGTCTGGTTTTCTATTTTTGTCCACCTGGTTGTGTTTTAGTTCATGAGAGATTTTTATTCTGATGGGCCAGATATTAATCTGCGTACTAAATTTTAGTCTGCAGACTAAAAGTAATCCGCGGATTATTTATTTTTTCAAAATATTTAATTCCCCCACTGGAAACTATCCTAAAAGAATGTTAAATTATCTTAGAATAGCCAAGGGAGTTCACAGCTACTGGTGAGTTCTGCCATTTTTTTGTTCTCAATACCTAGACATAATAGACCCTACTACTTCCCTTGTGTATTTGGCTCCTTTGTGCCTAGGTGTTGATGTAAATAACTATGCATGTCACCTATAACTGTGACTGTCCCTTAGTTGTATTGTTTATTGTATATATTTTTGTTTAGCTTTTGGTGGGTGAATTGGGCATATTTGCAGATGGAACTGTGTTGAATTTGTAGTGCTCAAAGACTTAGGATTTTTTTTCAGTGAGTTTTTCCAAAGAGGAAAGAATGTTCTTTTATTTATTTTTCCTAAGTAATGGGTGCAAGGGTATGAGGGGGCAAAGCCCAAAATAGAAAAAGTAAGTTTATACCCGCACTCCTGAGGTGATATGTCAATTTCCTGGAGAGTCCTAAGACAATGAGAATGTCAGCAAATAAACATCTTTTAGCAGGGAAGTCAATCCAAAATGGAGAATAATCCGCGGTGGCCTGATCCTTCTAAGCTCACACAAATTTAAAATATCTAGCTTGAAAGCTATAATAATATAAATTAAATATATTTAATGCTTTCCTCTCATCACTAATAATTTAGCAAAAAATGTTTATACTGTGTAACTGAAACACATTAATAGAGAAAAATTAGCATATTGGGAACTTACAAATTTAAAAAGCAGGCTAATATGCCCCTTCCCAGCCATGTCTATGGATGATGAATCCAGGTCACAGAAGACCATTTTACTTTGGGAACTTTACTTCTAGATTTCATTTTGATTTTAACTTTTTTTGGTTTTATATTTTTTTAATGAATGCACTGGCATTGGAACATAATAAACTAAAGTTAAAATGTTTCTTTACTGTGCCTCACCATTGCGCAATCAAAAAAATTTTTTTTGCATACACTGTGGTGAAATAATTTTTAAAACTTGGACTTGCTACTGTGGAGACTAATGTTTAAAGTTTTTAACTGTATAAACATTTTCTGTGTCCCCCCACACCATGGATTCCTTATAACATTGGATATATTTTTCCTTGCTGGACTATTCTCTTTTGGATTGACTTCCCCTGTTTGGATTATTTCACTGCATTATCATCTTTAGGATTCGTCAGGAACAGGACATTTCACCTCAGGAGTGCGGGTATGTACTTAATTTTTTTTTTCCCAAAATTGCAGGGCAGATCTATAAAACTCGGGGGAAAACTTTTTTTGAAAGGTCTTCAAATGTAATAGTAAAAACAGTGTAGGTAGCTGTGATTTCTATTTTCATTCATTGTGTAGTATAGGTTTTGTTGATGGTATATTTAGATTATCAGTCTCCTGGATGATTCATTGACATCTAGACTGAAGTTTAGGAATTGTGAGGTTATAAAATTATTACAAGAATAAATATTGACAAAGATCCATGAAACCAAATGTTCTGAGTGTTAAGCAGTTTCAATGAGTAAGGAATGAAGTGGTAGCAGAAATTTCTTTTATTAAAAAAGCCAAATTTTAGTTGTTGGTTTTCTTTTCTTTAGACACAAAAATAATTAGGAAGAGTTAGTTTCTAGTTTGACCTATAACTTTTGGGAGTTACATGCTACCATACCTGTATTATAGTCAGAAATCTGAACTCTGAGAGACACCGGGTTTTGGCCCCACATAATTTTCCACTTAACCTTTACCCACAGAGTACTGAACCAAGGCTTTTCTGATCAGGAATCTGTCAAAGGGTTTAAAGTAACCGTGGATACTTTTTTAAAGGCAGGTTAAATCTTGATTTTAATGTAGGCTCTTGGAATGAATTCTTTACTGTTTTTAACTCTTTCGACTCCATGAGTTAGGCTTCCCTGACAAAATAAGCCACGGTATGTCTTAGTACCAATGTGGATAACCACTTGTAGCCAGTAAAACACCAAAAAGATATAGAAGACTTTTTCAGAAATCAGAAACGAGCTTATAATACTGGTTTATTAATAGCTTTAACACAAAATCTTTGAATCTATGACATGAGATTTTTTTCATTTAAAATAATGCACCATCCAGCTACCCTACATTTGAATGTTTATAGGAGATACTTACTTCTACTTTTGGTGCTACTTTTAATTCTACTTATGTGCTACCATAATGGTCTGCCATAATGGTGCGAAAGAATTTTGGATTAGCTAGCAAAATAAATTCCATAAACTGTCAAATAGATGCATACTGCCCTCAGGGATAAAATATGTCAGTAGTGTTTAATATTTTTATGAAAAATTTTCTTCTGAGTTTTCCCACTGATTATTTTCTTTTTACATTCTGAATTTAATTGTGGACCTTAGGAATAAGAGAAGGGACCAAGAACAGTGAAAAATCTAAACATTTCAAATACTACAATAGCTTTAAGGTTTCCTTGACTGAGGCAAGTCAGAGTACTCAAAAGAGTGAAGATAGTTTTTGATCTTACAAAGGGCTTTCTAATATAACCAGTAAATTGATTTAAGGCCTTTAAGCTTCTGAAATAAATTTCTAAGATCCTACTTCACCCAATTTCTCGATTTGCATGGAAAATATATTTTTTAATAATAAACTCTGTATAAAAACAAAGGCCAAAAAAACCCCTGTTTTCATTGTAGAAAGTACTCATAAATAATATCTTGAAAGTCTAATGAGCTACAGTTGTAACTGGTTCTCTTACTTGCAGCATAAGTGAATAGCCCGATGTTGCATAAGCCATTTTTGTTAGAAAACCTGAGCCCACCAAGCTGCTCCATGCCCTCTCACAATCTGCATGTCCTTTCCTCACTCGGGGATCTCTTTCCCTGCATTTATACGTGTCTGCTTGTCTGGATATGTCTCTCTACCTCCACCACCACACCTTTTACTTGGTTGTATGTTCTTCCTATCAAGGGATGTATGTTTCAGTTTTTTTTAGTTTCAGAGGCTTTTTGTCTGTTTGTTTATTTTTATTTCTTCCCCTTTTATCTTTATTATTTAACTGACCATAATTTAGAATGAAATATATTTTCATAGTTTTATGTACTCATTGGTTCTGTTTAAGACATAGATAAGTAGGAAGCTATCTGTTCCTTTAAGCAGATTAATTTAATTACATTTTACTTCAGTGTAGCCTTCAGTTGACTTTTTCTGTGACTAAATGACCTTTAATGAATAATACATTTTTCTCTCCCCATTAAAACCCTAAAATATTTATTCTAATAAGGTTAAGCTGACCACATTCATGACAGCTACTTGAGAAGACAGTGTGTAGGACATTTTGTCAGATTCTAAGTATTCAAGAATGTCTTCAAATAATGATAGGCTGTGTTTATTGAGGAGATAATAACAAATCATTAGCATTTATAGACCTAAGTAAACAGCTTTTTTCCTTTTTTTTTTAAGATAGTGATTGCCAAATTTTTTAACAGTGCCACCCATTTGTCAACAATTGTTCTGCTAAAAAATAACACAAAAGAGGCACTTTTTTTTTTACCACCACAACAGTGAAAATGTTAAATATTTTTTATTATTTTCTTGTTGTGCTTGCCTCCACAACCCAGCCTATCCCATGTGCCTGTCATATTTTGTGTGCATGTTTGTTTGTACTGCTTTATGATTAGCATATGTAGATTTTTCTCTGAGCTTTTCTCATACAGTCTTTAATTAGCAGTTCACCCAGTGTGGTGAATCATGTGCACTTAACTCTCTTCATTCTAGAAGGCTCCTTCCCCAAATGCAACCATGTTTTTGTACATGGTGGGAATTAACTCAGTACTCAAAGGGTTATTTTCTTAGATTCTTATAATACAACATTAATTGTTCTTTGCCTTTTCTTGTACTGCAGGTCTTCCGACCCCGAACTCCACCAGAGGCAATTGCACTGTGTAGCCGTCTGCTGGAGTATACACCAACTGCCCGATTAACACCACTGGAAGCTTGTGCACATTCATTTTTTGATGAATTACGGGACCCAAATGTCAAACTACCAAATGGGCGAGACACACCTGCACTCTTCAACTTTACCACTCAAGGTAATTCCAAACACTTAGCCATTTCTGGGAAAGCTACACACTGGGTATGAAATGACACCTGAAGAACAAAAATGGACATATTAAGTACTTATGGAGATAGGAAACATCCTTTTTAATTTATTAAGCCACTAATATGGTTTTGAATAAAACAATGGCAGATAAAGTTTTTAAAATAGGCATAGCTTCTCTGATTTTTAGCAGATTATAATCTTGGCACATGAGAAGTTATATAGATTTCAATGAGTGACGTTTATCGCTAAGAAGACAATTTAACCTTTAGGTTCAAATCTGAAATTTAAAATATTAGCGTTTCTTGCTTCCTACAGATTTATATCAAGTTTTTGAAACCTGAAGATAAATTGGTGGCTATATTTGTATAAATTCACTTATTTAGTAAACAAGAGGAAAGACCTAGAGTCCTATAAACCCTTTCTAAGAATTTATGCAAGGGATATTAACAGAAATTCTCATCTCCTCTGAAACTTACCCCCATTACTATTGCTGAGAAAATATTGAAAGGAAAACTTCATGCATTGGTAGTTTCCAAAAGAACTGAGCATAGTAATTATTTCTTACCATTTCTGTGTTCACCTTTATTTTCTTCCTGATTAAGACCCTAAGTGACCCATTCATTCAACCACACTGCCTCTGATAATGTGATTTTCTTCTTAAACTGAGCATAAAAAGTGTATCATTCCCAACACATAAAACAAGAAATAGTTGATACGATGGATTGATTAATAAGTGTGGTCAGGCCAGGAAATACAGAAGGGAGATTTTAGAGCTTTCTGTGACCAAGAAAGATCTATTTCATTTATTCTAAGGTGAATGTTTTTTCCCCATATTTAAACTTTTCTAAAATTGAATATGGAAAGATGCGTGGCATAAGCAGTAAATGAGGAAGATCTGAGTTGATAGTAAAATATGCTTTGATGTTTTAGTTCTGTGGTCCCCAAAGCCCTGGGCCAAAGACGGGTACTGGTCCGTGGCCTGTTAGGAACCGAGCCACACAGCAGGAGCTGAGAGGCGGGAGGGTGAGCAAGTGAAGCTTCATCTATGTTTACAGCTGCTCCCCATTGCTTGCATCACAGCCTGAGCTCCACCTCTTGTCTCAGATCTGTGGCGGCATTTGAGTCTGCATTATGGTGAATTATATAATTATTTCATTATATATTACAATGTAATAATAATAGAAATAAAGCACACAATAAATGTAATGCACTTGAATCACCCCAAAACCATTTCCTCCATACCCCTTGGGTCCCTGGAAAAATTGTTTTTCATGAAACCGGTCCCTGGTGCCAAAAAGGTTGGGGACTGCTGTTTTAGTTGACTATAAGTTTGAGTTGGCAGTATTATGTAACTGTTTTCAATGCAGATGCAGTCTTAAACTACCTTGAAAAAAAGAATGTTCAGATATCCTAGGACTATTAATTCTGAGTATTTAAAGCTGATCAGAAACAATTTGGAATGTTGTTTTAGGTCCTGGCTACTCCATTTTAAGAATATTAGTGAATGGGAGGGTAGGCTATACAAAGGAGCAGAATTGAATATATAGAGTCTGGAAAATGGGAAGATGGAAGGTACTCCTGATAGCTATCTAAAAATACCTCAAGGACTGTCTTATAATGAAAGGAATAAATATATACTCTTTCTCCAAATTGCAAAATTGAAAATACTGGCAGAAAATTAGAGAGCTATACATATTTAGTCCTCAGTCTCTGGTACAAATAGAGACGGAATAAAATTATTGATGAGTCAATAAAGAAACTTTCAACTGTTTAACAGTAGAACAAGTTGTTTTCAAAATATTGATCTCTGTACCTGGAGGTGTTCAGGAAAAAGCTGAATAATGTCTGATGTTATATGTAGGAATACTCCTACAGAGTAGGAGTAGCAGAAGGTTAGCAGAAGGTTAAACTGGGAGATTCTGTTGGCCTCTTCCAGAGGAAAGATTCTATGATTCCATGTCATAAGTTTTAGACCTCTTGAGAAAATAAATTACATTTTTAATTCTTATTGCTTGTGTTTTACCCAAGAGTAATACCTGTAGATTGAAGAAAATGTTGAGAACACAAAAGTAGAGTGAAAATTAAAATCACAACTCCAAAATAATCATTTTTTTCCCATTTGATAGTGTAATTCTTTTCTAACACATATACTGATAATCCTTGAATATAAAATCAACTATTTTCCCATTAAGAAGATCCCAAATGGATTTTTAACTTGAATGTATATAAAATTATGTATTATAATGTATAAGGTTATATATTAATTTAGGAATTTTGCTTTTTTACATCTCAAATTTCATAAAACAATTTTATTCAAACTCTTTATATGCATCTTTTACATCTGTGTCTTTGTAATCAATACTGCTACTTTTTGAACCATCTATCACAGTTTTTAAGTTACGTCACTTACAGTTTTTGTTATGAAGCACTTTTTTAATCTATATGAGGGGATACCATTGGAAAGTCTATATGCATTTATATAACATAACAAGTTTTATTTTGTTTTATTTTTTTGGTACTCTAGACATGTTTATTATCTATGCAGTATAACTACTGGATTGTTTTTTAAAGTGGTCTCTAAAAGGCTTGTGTACAATGACAATTTAGCACTTGAAACTGGATTCTTAGCATCAAGAACTACAAAATTAGTATTAAATTTCTTTGCCTCCTTTTTTACCACTTTTGTCAGGTGACCTTAAAGTTTCACAGACCAGCAATTAAGGTTTTTTTACACTTAAGTATCTTTTCCAAAGAGCGCTTTGTTGCTCAAAATAAACTAATTAAGAAAGCCTCTCCTTGGTTGGGTGACTTGGTAAAACCTCAAATACAAATGGATGATATTTATGATGGAAAGATTTTGGAGAATAATTCTCCCTATATCCAGGCATACTCTTCAGAGTGTGTGTATGTGTGTATGTGTAAGTTTAATTAAAAATAAGACACTACTTAAACTTTTTTTTGAAGTAACTACATTTGATTCTTTAATCAATGGCTAAAATTTTCCATTATTAATAAAGAAAATATAATTTAAAAACAATCGGATTTGTTTTTCTATGAAGTTCTAAGCTTTTTAAAAATTTGAGGCAAAATTCACATAAGATTAACTATTTTAAAGTAAACAATTCAGTAGCATTTATACACTTACAATGTTGTTGAACTGACACCTTTACCAGGTTGCAAAACATTTCATTGCTTCTAAAGGAAACCCTATTCCCATTAAGCAGTGACTCCCAGCCATGGTATCCACCAGTTTACTTTCTGTCTCTATGGATTTACTTATTCTGGATATTTTATATAAATGGAATCATATAATATGGGAGCTTTTGTGTCACTTCTTTCACTTAGCATAATATTTGCAAGCTTCATCCATGCAACGTGTCAGTACTTCATTCCTTTTTATGGCTGAATAACATTCCGTGGTATATGGTTATACCACATTTTGCTTATCCATTCATCTTTTGATGGACACTTGGCCTGCTTCTACCTTTTTGCTATTGTGAATAGTGCTGCTGTGACCATTTGCATACAAGTATTTGTTTAAAATACTTGTTTTTTATTTCCTGGGATATTCCTCAATCATATGGAAATTCTGTGCTTAACTTTTTGAGGGATCACCAAACTATTTTCCATGGTGACTGCACATTTTATACTCCTACTAACAATGTACAAGGGTTCTAATTTTTCCAAATCCTTGCCAACTCTTTCTTCTCTGTTTTTTTTTAACTTTTGTGAGTGGTCACTTTTCATAGTTAGCTAATGGAATCAGTGAACTTTAACATCCTTAGAAGCCCCCAAATTGTTATAATACTTAAGCTTTGGCACATGCCTTTTTAAAGAAAAGATGCAGTTTACTTTAACATCCTTAGAAGCCCCCAAATTGTTATAATACTTAAGCTTTGGCACATGCCTTTTTAAAGAAAAGATGCAGTTTAAAGAAGAATAAATAAATAGTATTGTTCAAACTTTATCCATACCTAATATTTACAAGTTTTTTTAAAGAATGAAAATTGTTTTATTTTGATATTTTAAAATGTTATATTTGCCTAGTATATCAAATACAAATATGGGCTCTATATGTATCTTGAGTGTGCACATGTTTTTGAAGGGTTGAAGACTACGTGTTATTTGGATATAATGTGTGTAGACACAGTGTGCAGTCTCTGGCTATCAGTAAATATCAATGGAAAGGATGTACACGAGTCTTGGTATTTATGCAAGTGGACTTTGTAAATACAGTCACGTGTCACTTAATGATGCAGATACATTCTGAGAAATGCATTGTTGGGCAGTTTCATCCTTGTGCAAATGTCCTAGAGTACATTTAAACAAACCTAGTGGTATAGCCTGCTACACACTTAGGCTATAAGATACAGCCTATTGCTTCTAAGCTACAAACCTGTACAACATGTTACAGTACTGATGAATACTGTAAGCAGTTGTAACAGAGTGATTAAGTATTTGCATCGCTAAATGTGTCTAAACATGGAAAAGCTACAGTAAAAGCATAGTGTTCAAGTCTTATGGGACCACCGTCATATATGTGGTCCGTCGTTGACTGAAATGTTATTATATGACACATTACTGTATATCCTTGGAATCATTTTTCATCAAACTAAAAACTAAATGTATTAGATAGAAAGTGCCATAATTTTGAGATATGGCCTCTTTTTTAAGTGTTAAAATGCCCTGTCTTAGCAGTCATTCTGAAACTGAGCTGTGATCATATAGTAATACTTCATGTATCACTGTTATTCTGTATCTCTATTTTTCTTGAACAGTGTTTCTATATAGAAACACAGCTGTCCAGGGAAGAGGTTTTATTGATGACATTCTATTTGATATTCTATATTCTAATTTTGAAATAGTGTTTCCAAATGGCGATCTTGTTTTCTAAGGCCAAGATATAACTTTGTGCAGGTGCACCTTTAAAGCACATACTAGTTAATAGTAATTAATGGATGATCAGAATAAACCTGGGTTGAAGAAAGA